ACACAAACACACACACACACGCACACATACACACACACCTCCAAAAAGAACACGTTTTGTTGGGTCCTGGTGTTTCTATGGTTACAGGGTCGAGTCCCCCCAGCATTTCAGGGGAGCACAGCGAGGTTCTGTAACGTTCACATGGAGGCCAAAAAAAAAACACTGGAGAAAACATGGGGGGTTATCCAAGCACACACACACACACACACACACACACATCCTGGAGTGTTGGTAATGTTGTGGTGTGTTGTTCATGAACTTGGAACAACAGTGGAAACACAAATCTCAGAGCGACTGAGTGAAAATACAAACATACAAAATCTGAAGTCGTGATTTCAGTGCTAATGGTTCGTTTCTGAACTGCTTCAGTTTAAATTCTATATTTGTGTGAATATCACAGGTTGATGCAGATTCAACTGTAAGATGTGAATCATTAAGTGAAAACATTAAATTGTAAAGATCATTTTAATATTCAACAAAACATTAACTCACAGTTCTTAAGTTTAACAAACCTCCATGTTTAATTTAACATCGAGTTCACAGGTTCTGTTTTTAAGGTAAATAAAGATGGACGACACATCCACACTTCATCCTAAAAATATTAAGACATCTCTGATTCCAACACACATCTCGAGCCGACGATGACGATGGCCACTCATATTTATTTATTCATTTAATTTGAACGCTACCTCGTCTGGCTCCTTGTTATTTCACTTATATTTACTTTTCTTGCTTTGCTCTCAAAGCACTTTGTAAAAACATTAATATTATTATTACTTGAACATGTGATATTGACGTGTACTTAGATTTTTTTTTTAATTTTTTACGTTTGCAAACATGGAGGAGGCGGGGTTTAATGAGAGAGAGACGCTTTGGCTTCACTTCTTGGAGCCACCGTGTTCATGCAGCGTCTCCGGGTTTGAGAGTTGAGTGTTTTAATATAGAGAACCAGGCCCAGCGAGTGATAACTGAGTGATATGAGATTAAAATAGCCAGAATGAGCAGCGGACTGTACACAGCCCTGCAGCTCTGTCTGACTGAGGCAGAGAGACAGTATAAGAAAGCGACCTTGGAATGGGCAAGGAGACGCTGTCGAGCTCCGCATCAATATTTTAACAGGAGAGTTGACACATCAAAAAAAAAAAAAAAAAAAAAAAAAAAAAAATAGAGCGAGAGGGAAGGAGAAGAATGCCCAGCGATTCCAGAGTCATCTAAAATTCATGCATGCATCATCACCGCCATGAATATTCATACAGAGATGAATATTTAAGTGCAACTCCTATAGAGAAATTAGGTTCATCTTTACACTTATCAATAATTCGCAGGCCAGGTGAGTCACATCAGATGCTGAATAAATCATGATGGCACTCACACACACACACACACACACACACACACACTCACACACACACACGCACGCACACACACTTTCTGTGATTGTGAGGAGCCTCGTGATTATGATTCGCTCTCTGGAACCCTCACTGTGACCATCACGAGTAAACACCCGACACAAACCTAATTCTCTCTTTCATAGTTTCAAGCTTTGCTGCTTTATTTGATCCAGACAGTCGGGAGTGAAGGGAAAGGCGGAGGTAAGGTGACATGTTGCCTAAACCTCACACACACACACACACACACACACACACACAAATAACAAAAAGTTCAGACAGAGAGAAAACGAGTGAGGCACAAAGGTACATGCGTGTGTGTTGCTTTGCAGCGGTGCCTTCTGGGTAAGGGGAGACTGAGATGTCGGCAGCGTGATAATCACACCTGCGTGAATACGTTTCTGTTTTTAAAGGTGAGTTTCAGGTGAGTTCAGTGTATTTGACTGTTTACACATGAACCCTCAGAGTTTCTCTTTCGCTGCCTCGTTCTGATGCTTCACATGACCAGCAGGGGGCGACTCCACTGGTGGTCATGTCTCTGTGTTAATAAAAAGTTTCTGGTGCCGGTGAGAAGTTTTGTTTTGTTGTAAAGTTTCTGATCCACAGAACAACAGACAGGAAACAGACAGGAAACTCGTCTCACCTTGAAGAGTTGATGTCTCTGCTCCTCTGACATCATCAGCTGGTGACTGTCCATCACCATGGCGTCCATGTCCATCAGCCAGTCCCAGAGCTCCTGGTACTCGGCCTCGAACTCCTGCAGACTGACGGCAGAGAGAGAGAACGATTATTCAGTGGAATCATTGCTGTCGTCTCACGTTGTGGTTCCTCCGTGTTCTACTTCCTGTCATTGTCGTAAGTGTCCCGCAGCAGTGAGACATAAAGTGAGAGAGAGACACTGACGGATAAAATCAGAGAGAGAGAGAGAGAGAGAGAGAGAGAGAAAGAGAGAAAGCAGAAAACTCCTCAAGTGGCCGTTAGAGGAGAAACTAAAATGTCCTCCGAGAGAAACGAGGACAGATTCTTTGGACGCTGGTTCTTTGATTGCAGGTGAATCAAACACATTACATCACTGGAGTGAATCACACGTCTGACAACAAACATCGACGGAGAGTCAAGATGGACGACGTGTCTCCACGTCCTCTGTTCAGAAATGAAGGTAAAATACGAACGCTGCCATCGGACCCAGACGGTGGAGCGGAGCCACGGTATCGAACGACCACGACCACGAGCCTCAGCTGCAAACATCAATCAAACGTTTCTGAGAAGTTTGGTTTTAATTCGTTATTTAATGAGATGAAGGCTGAGACCGACTCTGACGTCATCGGCACAAGATGGCCGCCTTTGTATGTGAGATATTCTGTCCTCATTTCTCGGGAGGACTTGGACACACGTCGTCCATCTTTATTTTACGGTCTGTGGTTCCCATGAGAAGGTTGAAGCTAATTTTACAAGTTCAAAGTAAATGTTTATAACGGACAGATCGTTCGGCGCTCTCTCGCACCATACGAGGACAATTTAGTGTCTTCGTCCCACAAAGAGACACACACACACACACACATGCACAGAGTTTGTCCAACAGCAGGTTCCAGATGTGTCCTCGTGTTTTAGCTGCTGGATATAAAAGTGTCCTGCTCCGGACAAATCTGTGTCCACTAGCCGACTTAGTTTTCTAACTTCCTTGTTTCCTTCTCCTCTCTCTTCCTCCCTCCTCTTCTATCCCATCGTATCGTCCCTCATCTTCCTCAGCCTCCGTCCTTTAGCTTTCCCTCCCCCTCCTCCTCCTCCTCCTCCCTTGTCCTCTCACCTCCTCCTCCTCCTCCTCCTCGACACAGGATCACATCAAATATTTATGCTGCTGGAACAGGGGCCGATTGCTCAAACACACACATTACTGTCAGTCGTTTTGTTAAGGTGTCCCTGAGTGTGTGTGTGTGTGTGTGTGTGTGTGTTTATTATTTATATATTCGGTGGTTTTCGGTCTCGGCGGGGATCGCCAACATGTTTCTCAACATTAGCGGTGAAATTGCTTGGAATTCTCCGGTCGCCCACGACGACAGTTTGACAGCTCTGTCAGGCCCACAGCGTTTCTACCACAATTCACTTACACACACACACAAAGTACACGTACACACACACAGACACACAATCGCACAAAACAATTCCTCCAATACACAAAACAACACAGCTACTGATAATTACATGTGCACACAGAACCCACATTAAACACTACACAAGAACACACACTGACACAGACACACAACTGGAGGAGTTGTCAAAGTAAACAAAGTAAACTATGAATGAAATTACACAAACGACAAAAGACAAAAAACTACACGTTGGTTTTTGATTCACGTCGAACTCTGAGGTGAAGCCGTGTTTCCTGTCGATGTATTTATTACCCATAAGCCTCCAGCGGCTTGTGAAGGAATGAGAAGTGAACACATTATTTTAATGAGTCCAAGAAAAGTGCGTTCTTCAATCAATCCTCTTTCTAAAACTTCTCTACTTTCCTTAATGTTCAGAGATCTAAAAACTTTTGCCTCCTCCTCAAACCAAAAGTTCTCACTCTCACTTTCTAAACCAGTGACGCGTTCGTGTTCCTCCACCAACCAGAGCAGCTTCAGTCACATCTCTGTCTGTCCAGACTCTCGTGAGGTCACGCTGACCTTTGACCTTTGGAATCTGATCAGTTCGAGTGGCAACTGATCGAACTTTGAAGAAATTCACGTTCGAGAGGCCGAAAAACGTGTTTTGTGAGATCATCACGACTGAATACACGATGAGTTCATCCATCAGTCAAAGTGAAAGTTTGAAACTAATTCCCAAACTTTACAAAACGTCCAGAATCTACACTTCTGAAAATTGTCTTCACTTTTCTGTGTCCTCCTCTTTTTACCGAATGTCCACACTCTGTCAAAAAAAACCATACCGGGAACAAAACGTTCCAAAATGCACTTTTTAAAAACACCAGTTTACAGCCATGTTACAAACGTCACAAACGTTCTTTCTCCTCCTCCTCTACCTCCCGTCTTTCTAAACTCTCCTTCCCTTCGTCCTCTTCCTCGCTCCTCTGTCCCTCCGTCGTCTTCCGCTACAGGACAACAGAACATCTTCCCACCTCCTCCTCCATCTTTCTGCTCACATCCCCTCTCCCCCCTCACAGGCCCCTGTCCTCCTCTGCAAGTGATTCTCAACGAAATGAAAACAGAGAAGAAGAAAGTGAAGGAAGCGAGCGCTGCTTCCTTCCCCTGAGGCGGCGTTCCTCATTATGCGGCGAGCGGAGCGGCCCTTTACTGACTCAGGCAGATGAAGGAGATACAACACTCGCGCAGATTGTTTTCTCTTGTCGTTTGTCGTTGTTCACTCCCCCACCTCCACTCCTCCTCCTCTCCCCCCCCACGTTTCCGTCTTGTTCTCACACTAATGTTAACTAAACGCTTTGTAAAACAGGATTCTCTCGGGGAGGGGGGGGGGGGTTGGAATACGAGAAAACAGACAAATCGTAGAGCAAGGAGCGACGTGGCGGCACTGCGGGGCTGCGTTCGACACCGGGACGGTTACACAGCTGTTTGAAGTGTCAGGTTCTCTCTCTGTCACGCGGCTCTGACGGCGTG